TCCCAGAATCAACAGAAGAAGAGGGATCATGGTAAGTAGTGGGATATTGTTCAAGTAACTACCATAGGCTTATTTGTATGATAGATCTGAAACGTATGTCCTGTAACGAGGTGCTATGTTGGATACTAATAATTTTTTTTTTCAAAATGTGATTTTTGAAGGACATTTGTTCGAAAATCGTGAATTTATTCAGAACTAAATTTTAGAGCTCACGCATGTGCATGTATATCTTTTATTAAGCGATTATATACACCAGTGCATAGCACTCATCCTCGAGTTTCTTTTGTAGAAAGAATTAAGAAAATTGGGGATAAAAAGCGAGAAATGAACTCATCTATACTATGCACGAAATTGGTTCAGAGAAAAATGCATTTTAAAATTTCAGTTCTCATAGAAATCGATGGTATAGTAGTATCTAAAACATAAAACATTCTTCTTTTCTACCTAATTAGACAATCGAAATTTGTTTGTTTCGGAAGTTTAACATATTTAGAAAAGCTGATATCATCACGATGAATATCATTTAGGGGGCAACAATTTTTTATTATGCTCAAACATTCAAGGTTAAATTTGATGAAATAGCATGTTCATTTCTCAATATTCGCAATGATGTTGAAAATATGACGTGTTTTCACTGTACAGTGAATAGTAAATTTTATAGCTCTTTTTTGCTCTTTAAAATTTTAGTGTATAGTGGAATATTTGATGAATGGAATAATCAAACTTTTATGAGAAACATGATGGCAAATTTTAATTTTAGAAAAATGAAAAGCTGACAATTTTTTTACCTAACCTTTTTTCTAAAATTTCGCAAATAACATTTAAAGGCATGGCAAATTAGTAAATGAATGATAAAAACATATTTTCTTTACATGGGGCCTTTGAGATATGTTTTTGGTACTATTCTTTTTTATATTGGGATTAGAATGTATCATAGTAACAATATTGTCAATTGAGCAAGCAACAGGATCTTAAGAGGTTCTGGACAAATCATTTGATTCTGGACTTGACATATTTTTTTTCCAACGAAATCACATCCAAGGGTTGAATTTTTATTGGATATTTAGAGAGCGAGTCCTGTATTGATTTCAATAAAAAGGTTAAAATAGAACGCTATTTGAGAGTTAATCTTATACTTTCATTACATTGATAAATTAAGGCAAATTCTGAAAAATTTTAAAGTGCATTTTTTATGAAATATTATCCAAGTATTTAGATGAAACGGTCTTATTTAAATACAAATCATAACATGATGATATTTTTTCATAAAATATTTCTTCAAGAAATTCAATTGAAGGCTCAAGATAAAACGAGCTAATTTAGGTGAAAACCCTTACATGATGATGTGTTTTCATGACTTCTTTCATAAAATTCCATCAAGGGGTGAAAATAAAATGATCGAATTTAAGTGATTTAAGGATCACGAGGATAGGTTTTCTTGGATATTTTCTATGAAATCCCATCCAGTAGTCAAGGTAAAATTTTTATTTGGTATATTTGGTCACGTGTTCGAACCCATAGAACCATATAGGAACGTCATTTTGAATGTTACGTGATAAATCCATATAAGGCTTTTAGAACAATGTGGGGAAAGATGAGGGGAAACCCCTGACACCTGTTCACGATTTTATCCGAACGTTCATCGGATCATTTCGGTTTTTATGCACTTCATTATTTTACCGAAGTTTGCCGATTCGATTCGTCGTATTTCGGAATATTGGGGACAATTTTATACTCCATTGGGAGTATTTTTAATCTACTTCTTATTACGAAGATTCCCGAACCTTGTTCGGATTAATCCGGATTTTCTGACCTACTTCATCTACCGAGATTTAACGAGTTTACATTCGGCTCATTTCGGAATCCTGGTGACAATTTTATACTCCATTTGAGTATTTTTGATCTACTTCTCTGGATTTTTGATCTACTTCTTATGACGAAGATTCCCGAATCAGTTCGGATTAATCCGGATTTTCTGACCTACTTTATCTACCGAGATTTAACGAGTTAACATTCGTCTCATTTCGGAATCCTGGTGACAATTTTATACTCCATTGGAGTATTTTTGATCTACTTTTTCTGGATTTTGCCCTACTTATTATAAGTTGACAGCAAGCAAATCAAAAAGTTCGCCATGAACGGGTTTCGACCGACTAACCTAGAGAGTGGAAGCTAAACACGCTAGCCATGAGGCTAACGTTCACCTGTGTGAGATGATAAAAGTATCATATATTTATACCGAGCGTCAATTTAGAATGATCTTCGCTTTTGACTCCACTAAGATACAACTCGTCAGTTGTATCCAGAATAGGTGAACGCCTATGGTGTTAGTGAATAACCAAATCCCAGGCGAGTGGTTCGTATCCCACCGTGATATGTTATTTTTGCTTTATTAATACGACAGAAAGGAGCAAGGTGTAGGTTTGAAAACAAGACGTACGTTTATTTCAATACAGTTTTAGAAACATTAACCTCTGATAATTGAAGGATTTCCACTTCTGAAGCGCGACTAGATCTAAGAAGTTCATTAATCAAGACAGTGTAAACCTTTTAGATATATGTTAGACAATGTACACGCCCCGTGTGGAATCAACTAAATGTTACATTTTGGATTTCATTGAGATCCTGTCATAGTCCTAAAATTTATTTTTCTGGAACATCATTTTTTAAACACTGATACAAATTTCCCTGACATTTCCATGACATGTCTACAGTTTCAAAATTCCCGGACTCTTTGGCCCTTTTTGACCTTATTTTAAAATTCTCTGACATTTCAGGCACTTGGAAAATTAAATCAAAACCCTGACATTTCCAGGTGTGTACGAACGCTGGAATTATTCTTAAAATATCCTTCAAACCAAAGGGGAAAATGCTATGCACAAATACTCTAATTTAGTTTGTATTATAATGCGTTGTATTACATTGCATTGCATTGTATTGTGTATTTATTTGAGTGTCCGTTGACGGTAAAGAAGGCATTTAAAAGTTATTTGTGAAACTTAATAAACTTAATAAACAATACTTTAACAGTATTCTGTTATGGCAAAGTATATTTCATTTTTTCTCTTGTTCTCTACAATCTGCGTTGAGGACACTGAAGCATATGTCTGTATTTTGTTGGTGGGGAACAGCGTATCCTATCGTTCACGGAGCAAATTCAACTCTCGTTCACGAGTACCTTGTTTTTGGGCTCTTGTCCCAAAGATAACGATTGTATAAGGTTGCATAATCAGGATTATGAGCTTTCATGTTCTCATAGTTACATCTGTTGTAAAACGAATCTTGTCGCAACCTCTGCGAATCACGACAGCATAACATTTGAATCACGTTGACATCATTGCAAAATTAGGCTAAATATGCTAAGTCAAGACGTTAATTAGCCCACGAAAGTTCATGGGTAACTTGAGAACTACAAAATACAACCAAATACTTTTCGAACGTACAATAGCAATATTTCTCACCTAACGTCTTCATAGTTTTAGGAACGTATTTTAAACGCATGATAGCCAAATATATCAAGATACTATATCTGCCTAAATGAAGTTATCTAGTGTTTACAAAGTTTTGAAATATATTATATCCAGATCCATCAGAAATTAACTTATCCATTTACATTACTTTACTAGTTCTAGTATCTTGCATGACTCGTTCATAAGAATTCTTTAATTCTACCTCGTTCCCAATACGTCCTCAGACAGACAAGAAATTGAAGTCACACCCGTTTGTTTGCGTGGCATATTTATACGTATACGCACTTTCTCTGATTATTGTCAAACAAATACATTTCAGGAGAAGAACATAAAAAACAAATGCCTGAAACGAATGCCGAAACATAAATCCCAAGTGATTAAGTATAGAATGTTTTATTCTTTTACGATTTGATAAGAGACCGAGACTAAGAAATTAAATGCGACGAAATATTTTGACAACGTAATTTGTATACTGTTTTATTCTTAAAGTTCTATGCGATAAATTATTTTATCTGTTTCAAAATGTTTCATTTTATTTTGCCTATATAAAAGAGATTGAAGAAGATAAGATAAACTGTTCCGTAATATATATTGTGTTTTAATAACCTTTTTTTAGAATCACAATGTAAAATAAATCTCCCGTTCCTGCCATTCTGGTAACGCCATGCAATGGATGCAATTCAAAGTGAGAGAGAGATCTATGAATAACAGAATGCGTCCATGCCATTAATTTGGCCAAATACATGGCATGAAACTGACGTAAGTTTAAGTAAGCTACGCCCCCTGCTTTCTCTGGTAAATTATGACTTTATTTTTCGGAGTAATGGGTTTCGGACAACTGGGTTTCGGAGAACTGGGGTGTACCCGATTACGCTTTGCACGCCGCTTTAAAATCCCGATGTCTCCAGAGGTAGTTTAATCCGGTAGCCGACAGGCGTTTCTTGCATTATTGAATACAAGCTTACCTTATATTCGCGAATGCAACTAACGCCTTCCGGCTACCTGATTAACCGAGTATAATATGACCAAGTCATTTAAATATGAATGGAATAGTGGCAGGTACTATTCGTATTGACATGAGTTTCCAGTAAAATAATAGGTTAATCCGGTAGCCGACAGGCGTTAGTTGCATTTGCGAATACAAGCTAAGACTATGATTTGGGAATGGAAGATTTCAGCTTCCGGATTAACCTACCATTCTATGGGCGACTCATTTAAATATGAAAAGAACCTGACAATATTCCATTGATATTTTAATGAATTGCCCATAAAATAGTAAAGTAGGTTTATCCGGTAGCCGACAGGCGTTAGCGGCATTCGCGAATACAAGCTCCTTTATTTCATAATTTGGGAAATATATATTTTCACAATATTGAAATAGATGGTGGTTCAAAGTGGAATACATATCATACAAGTGTCACAGATATTTTTAGTGCATATATGGTCTGTCTTTGCATGACTTTGTAGAACATATCAAAACCCTGGGATCCACAGGGTAACAGTAAGTACATTTCGTTAGATCTTCCGAAGTTCATGCTTCAAAGTTGTCAAAGTTGTAAAA